AACATCAGAGTACGCATGTCAAACGCAGGCACCATGGCACCATATCCAGGTCGCAGTGAGACAAGATTGAAAAGAAGAGAGACAAAGATTAATTTGGTCCAGTTCGGGCACAAAGTCTTGGGCAGCCTAGTGGCCTAGTGCGAGAATACCTCGACTTGTGCTGATGTCACTGATGTCGATCTGCGGATGTGCCACCGCACACTGTAACACGCTCCTGACAACTCTGACCTCGGACAAGACACGGATACTACTTGGAATCGTGCCAACAAGCTCTCTCTCGCTGACATGTTAGCTCCGGCACGTATTTTTCTGGGCTCCGCAAGCTGCAGTGCCTGATGCCTGCCACGGGTGCCTTCGGCACAGAATGGCCTCAGGCCGCAGCTGTTTAGGGTAGAAGATTGGGAGTTCTGCAATCTATCCGCATTATTTACCTGAGTGTCAATGGGTTTCATACATGGCGAGTGCTTGCCCTGAGCAATTGCAGCCTTCTGTTGGCTGCAGCTTGAAAACCAACGAGAGGTTGCAAGAAGCCCTTACCCTAAACCCTACACCCTAAACCCTATACCCTAAACGAAGCAACTTTCAGGTTCCGTGGGTTTTGTAGAACGAAGCGCAGGCACATAGGACTCGGAATACTCAGACAGTTACCCAAGAATCCAAGGACCGAGTTTTCAGCAGATAGGAGCATCTGCAAAGGAAATCAGCAATCTCAATCTGAAGCTTCACACCGTATAATCCTGAATGGAAGCCGCCTTAACCCCAAACCGCACGAGCCTCAGAACTCTGACAGATTGCGACACATTGAGCGGTTATGCAAATCATATCAGGAATCCTAGTGAACGAACCTACAGAACTTCTGTATCAACCCTAAGCCCTAAGCCCGAACCTAAACCCGAAACTACAATTATCACCCCACCCCACTGCACCTTGACCCTTCCCCACCCAACTAACGCCATGCACCCCACACTCTTTGAACCCTCTACACCACAAAGCATCCCGACGGAGACCCCAAGCACCACACATACCGTAAACCCTTTACCCCACTGACACCATTTAACCTCAACCCTCGCTGCATAGTAAAACCAAATCTTCCTTAAATCCTGAATCCTGAGCACGAAGTACACCGTAAAAAGACACACAAAGAAGTTCTTAACCCTAATACTAGAACTAGAACCCATTGAAACCAAGCACCCTTAATTCCCTTAATTCTCGTTCCACCAGCAAGCAACCCTTTCGACCCTGCTTAACCCCAAAATCCTCAGCCCGACCTAGACTACTAAACTCCGTTACACAACAAACCGACCCAACCTAGATCCCGAAACTTCACTTGACCGGTAACCCTCGCTACAACACGATGTAGCAACAAAACTATATCCTGAGCCTAAACCCTAAGCACCACGAACACTACGTACCCTAAAACCCCATTGCGGCACAAACCATCATTCATCATATATACATGTATTGGTATTTATGCAGATGTATGGCTTTAGAGGGGTATCAGGGTGTAGGGCTACGCGGAGCCCTCTTCCAAGGCTGTCTTGGGATTTGCACGAAGTCGTCACCGTCGAACACAACCCCAAACTTTAAACCCCAAATCGCTACCTTACCGTGTAACTTACATAGGTCGGCGATCTCTGTACTTGGAGTTTATGTGTTAAAGGCGCTGTATTAGCCGTATATAGGGATCCCTATTGCGCTACACAGTACACATAGTAGGTAGTATTAGGCACAAACCAACAGTCCAGCAACCACCTGGGTGCTAAACCACAGCAAAGCCCAAAACCCTTGAATCCCCCAACGACCATATGGCCCCTGTTGGGCCTTGAGCAGTGTCACCACCTCCGGCACCGCCCGGAGGATCCGCGCGATGCGATCCAGCCTGCGTGTGGATTTCAGGTACTTGGGGAAAGGAGTCATTCAGTAGAGCTCTACATACTGTACTACCTACTTACTTACTAAGTCTCGGCTCTCCAAGCAGGTTGTCGCAAGGGGTTTTTACGCCTTTCCCAACAGTTTTACGTGTTTTATAAGGGTGCATGCTGGGCTTCAAGGGAGCCGTCCATGAAAGATCCACGCGCTATAGGAGCCTTCATAGTTAGATTAGGGGTTTGGGGTACATTGTAATACTATATCTTATAGTAAGGAGAAAAATAGTATAGGTAATTATTTAGGCCCCTACATTGCACCCCGCCAGGCCCAGTCCGAACAACACTGTTAAGTACATCATACACGGACGGCCCATTTCCTGAAGCTTCCGATGGCCAGCCATCGAGAGCTGGAGATCCTGATTGAAACGAAACAGAAGCCACACAAATTTCAAAATGTAAGTAGGGTCAAGCAAAACCTTAGCGTACGAACCCCAACACACGAGTTCGACCAAAAGCCTAATGCAGACCCCTGATTACATAATGGCACACCCCTCCCGAACTCACCACAGAAAAGCCGGACTCCTAGTAATATTTCCGACAGCATTGCTTGAAAAAGCCTTAAATCCTATATGCCTCGATATACCCACGGTTGAAAACCCTAAACCCTATAATCCCTAAACTCCCAAACCCCATAACTCCTAAACTCCTCAACCCTAGGCCCTTGAACTCCCTTACAGGGAACTCCAGAAAGTTGGACTATGGAATAATGGCAGGATCCCCTATAATTTACCTTAAACGGGTTACGATAATGATATTCCAACTTTCTGGCTTCTACGTACTGTAATCGCTAAACTCCTAAACCCTAAGCCCTTAACCGACCTGGTGAGCCGCACGGTTCGCAAGATCGTCAGCTCTTTGACCTCACAGTGCAGCTGACCACTATGAGGTTTCAGGCTTTAGGGTTCAGGGCTTAGGGTTCAGGGTTAAGGGTCTAAGGTTTAGGGGTTAAGTGTTTAGGGTTCAGGGGTTTCAAGGTTTAGGGTTCAGGGTTAACGGTTTAGGGTTCAGGGTTAAGAGTTTAGGTGTTTAGGGGTTTCAGGTTTGAGGGTAAAGGGTTCAGGGTTTAAGGTTTTGGGTTGACAGTACATAGAGGGCAGTAAGGTTCGCTCTTTGACCTTACACCGCCGCCACAAACTACTCCAAACTCCAAACAATAAACCCCGAAACCCTAAACCCTTAACCCGAAGCCTTGTATTCTTGCGGGAATTGGACAAACACTCCAGGTTCAGGGGCTGTTGGTTGGGTCGGCTATGAGCGTTTAGAGGCTTCAGGGTGCGTGTAATTTTCAAGATTCAGAATTTTAGAATGTGCAGGTGCGCAGCAAGTTAAGACTGAGCTTTACAGGCTAGCATGGTCGAAGTTCCTTAGCTAGAGAGCCAATATCCCTTAGTTTAAGGAATATACCTTACATTATAGCAGGATCCCTGATATGATTTAAGGAATATTCCTCAATTATGGGATAGTGGGCTCTCTGGGTATAGAGGGCACCAGACCTCAAAACCCCAAACCCCAACTCCCTGACTTAAAGGATAATGGGACTTGGTAAGTAGGTTTTATAATGGGGGGTATAAGTCCCATAAGTGGGGGCTATCCTAATTATAACCTACTTGCAGCCTTACTTACCAAGTCCCATGAGCCTTTAAGAAAACCCCCAATTGACCCCTAAACCCCATGCCGTACCCCACGTTCCTCTCAAAACTCAGCCGCGGGCCGCGTGCACATCGCTGCTGTCCACGCCTGCCTGCAGTGAGGAGTCTGTTAAAACTACCGTCAACATTAAGAGCCTTTTAGACGGCTTTTAGGGTGTGGGGCCAGTCTAGGGTGTCAGCGTGTAAGGACCTAACAGACAGGAAAACCGATATACATAATATACGAGTTATACTTACACTAAACTCCGATTGGCGCAGGGATCCCTTCATGGCCATCTCATTGAGACTGTATATCACCATGGAGTCGATTGAATAAGCCTAGACCCTCCCCAGACCTTCCAAAATCCCTTAAGTAAGGACTATACCCTGAATCATATTAGGGATCCTATTATAATTTCAAGGTATATTCCTTAATTAGGGGATATTGGAAGGTCTGGGTCCATCTACCCTCTATTAGACCCTAAAGTCCCCTTATTGGGGACCATATACGCTCTATACAAAAGCGAATGACCCTGTGCATGCACACTGACGTGAAGATCTATGTGCTTCAACAACGCAGAACCAAGAAGTTGTGGAATGATATAAGCATCGGCCCTAACAATGTTGATAAACAGAACAAAAGCTTAAAGCCTAACGGATCCTTCGTCAGGGCTGCCGTCAAGGTCTTTCGCTTATCAGAACTGTCTTAAAGTCATGGTCGGTTGAATCTTTCTGTCGGGTTTCGACTGCTGCTTTGATATGCCTGGGCAATGGAGACTTTTTTCTGCAAGAGTTACAAGAATTCGTTTTGGACTTGAATACAAAGATGCAAACGCTAGAGGGTGGTGCAGTTGAGGACTTCGGCGCTTAATTACAGTTTCACAAGTTGACTGGTGACTGGTGACTAGTGAATGGTCTGTTGAGGGTGTGGGTCCCGTGTGGGTAGTATGGCAGTATGCGGCGGAGGGCTCCAGCCTAGGAAGCAAGCCGCTGAAGGTTGTGAAGTTGGCAGTAGTGCGTGATCTGGTTCTCGAGCTCTGCACGATCCCCCAATTCTGCCATCGTTCGAGGTGGCACCTCAGCAATAGCTTGAGATCAGACTGCTGGTATTGGCACTTCAGAGTGACGATACAGCATCGAACAATGACCGGACAGTGTGTACACGTCTTATAACAACAGTGGACCATGTGAACATGTCGTCGCCGAAGTGATTCGTCGTCTTCATCTGGAGCTCTGATCATGCGCGTGCCTGGTACAAGCCGCTGCAACACGACTGCTGGCAACACTCTACACAGACTCTACGCTGGACACCGACACCCAGGTACATCAAGTTACAACCAAGCAGCCTTGATATACCCACCAGAGAAGTCGTGTTATCACCACTGATTCGTTCGGTTGATTGCACTGCATACTCTTGACACAGCGTTTCATGTCTGCCCCGTGCCCATGCGCGTGCAGTGGACACTGCACGAAGTAAGAAGGCACACCAGAGATGTGGCGCTTGACAATGGCGAAAGCGCCTACGAATATGGTACTGGGGTCGTAGACAGAACTGGGAGGCCCAGGCTCACGAGGAATCGCCAGCTCAGCTTGGACAGGACGTGCCCTGCGACGACGTCGAGGCCGTTCTTCGGGATCTGAGTCTTGTGACTCTGACTGGTTTGACTCATCTCGATTGTCTGACTCCTCTGATCCCGATGAACTTGACGCACCACTGGCGCCAATGTCGGAATTGGAAGATCCCAGTTGCAGTATCGCCTGTTGCATCTCTAAACGCAGAGAAGCAGGCGTCGACGGCGTCTTCTCTTCCACGTCCGAGTCTTCAGGCTCGCGCTCGATACCTGCTTCAACAACTCTTTCTGATCAAGCAAGCAACGCAGCAACATGTGCAGCAAGGGCAAAAGCAGTCCCAGCAAACATCCTCATCAACAAGCCAACCCACCCGACAAAGGTAAGTGCAGTCGGACGGAAGCACTGTCCAAGCCAAGATTCGTTCTGCCGTGCCGGCTACCTCGGCATCGAGGACGCCTGCTGGAACACCTCAGAGATTAAAGCAAGAGTATCAAAGGCTGCCACAGGCCGCAGGACCAGCCCCTTCACAGAGCCGCGTTGCTGTGGCTCACAGATTCGTGATCCTCAGCCTCATCTGCCTCATCATCACCTGAGTTGAGCTTGAGACCCGGAGCAAGCATCCTCATCCTAAAGCCAACCCACCCGACAAACGTAAGTGCAGTCGGACGGAAGCACTGTCCAAGCAAAGACTCGTTCTGCCGTGCCGGCTACCTCGGCATCGAGGACGCCTGCTGGAACACCTCAGAGATTAAAGCAAGAGTATCAAAGGCTGCCACAGGCCGCAGGACCAGCCCCTTCACAGAGCCGCGTTGCTGTGGCTCACAGATTCGTGATCCTCAGCCTCATCTGCCTCATCATCACCTGAGTTGAGCTTGAGACCCGGAGCAAGCATCCTCATCCTAAAGCCAACCCACCCGACAAACGTAAGTGCAGTCGGACGGAAGCACTGTCCAAGCAAAGACTCGTTCTGCCGTGCCGGCTACCTCGGCATCGAGGACGCCTGCTGGAACACCTCAGAGATTAAAGCAAGAGTATCAAAGGCTGCCACAGGCCGCAGGACCAGCCCCTTCACAGAGCCGCGTTGCTGCGGTCCACAGATTCGTGATCCTCAGCCTCATCTGCCTCATCATCACCTGAGTTGAGCTTGACACACTCGGAACTCATGACTCATGACGAGCTCGGGCAGTCAGGTTACGATAAGTTGGCACGGCAGGCCCATCGTCTGCATCCGTAGTCTCACCGTTCACGTCGCCATCTGCCGAGTCTGCCATCGCCGGCTGATCTTAGGCCCGCAAGCCGCAAGCCCACGTCGTCGACCCACAAAGATTGACAGGCACCGCAGGAAACACGGGCAGCTCACTCACAGCCAAGCTGCCAAGGATTTCAAGCGGCTCACGATCAACAGATCTTTTCCTCTTTTTGCCTCCACCACGACCACGGCCACGGCCGCGGCCGCGGGCATGTTCACTGTTGCCATCGAACAACAGGTTTATCTCACCTGAAGAGCGGGAATGCCAAAACAAAGCAGCTGATGCACCTGCGCAGAAAAACTCACGCCTGCATCATCTCCGATAGCAGCAAGCAAACTGCCACGTCCAGCGCGTGGCTTCATGCCTAGTAATTCCCTGTACACAGCAACCTTCTGATGGGGTCGGACACTCGCGGATTGATGTGGTTCACACTCCATCAGCGTGCGATAGTACATTTCCGTTTGAAAGTGGTGTATTTCTTTGATTCCCTTCTCGAACAGCTCGTCTGCACTGCAGAGGCACTCCAGATAGAGCCGCCCGATGTTCTGAGAACCGGTGTGATAAACAAGTATGCGTTCACCTCCCTGGGTGTAAGGAGGAGGCGGGCGCCGACCCCCCTTCGTCGCAAGCCCTCTTTCCTTCCACCCGTCTCGCAATAGCCTGATCAAGAGATCAAACACTGTGCTCGTGCTGTCGCTAGTTTCCGTGTCTTGCCCTTCTTGGCAGCTGGCCACATACTCGCAGACCTCTGAGGGGCCGTGGTATAGCTGCGCAATCCCTGCGCAACTAGCAGCTTTCCGTGTAGCAGCGATGCGGCCCGAAGTTTCATCGGCCCATGTGGCCAGCCCCGACGCGCGCAGCTCTGCAAAACTTTGTTCGTGATCATCGTCCTGAATGAAAACATGATTCTGGGTTGCCGCTTCTGTTGCTCCGGCTTCGAGTAGCTCCGACAGAAGCTGCACAGCTGCCGGGCTCCTGAGCATGGCGGCATGGCCTATCCGTTCTCTCAGGGTTTCAGGAATCGCCTATGGTCGCAGGGGTGGGTAGGATTAGGGCAGAATAACTTCACAATGTGACGACGACTGTGACGATGATTTAGCCTAGCTGTAGACAAAGGCTCACATGCTCCACACGAGCAGGCGCCATCATCACTCGGTTGCCTTGTTTCCACACAGATAAGTTGCTCGCCAAATCATCGAACTTGAGGTGCTGCAGGCTTAATGCCATTGGAGCCCCTTGTGGCGCCAAGTACTGACCACTGGCCTCTGCCTCTGCAGGCCCCACGGCAACATACTTCTGGACCGTGAAATCAAAGGGACGCAAAGGGTCCCCGTTGAGCGTATGCCTGCTCATGTTGCCGCCCACTATCCTGAAGAAGAAAAGGCTGCTCTGCACAGGTGGCGCAGGCAGGTTTGCCGCACTACCAGGACAACGAATACTGCTAGAAGGTTCGTGGAACAAGTGCCGCGCTGGAATTATCTCGCAACCCGGCCCCTGCAGAGTCGGCACGGCGAGTTGCAGCTGCACTTCCGGCTCATCGAAAGTTTGTTCTGTGGTCCGCTCTGCATCTTGCAAGGCTTGGGTGCTGGGCCCCACCAGATGCTGCCAGGACTGCAACGCCTGCCCCAGCAAAGCCACTGGCATGGCGAAGACGACATGGTCTCTGCCCGCAACCTGGGCCGTTTAGGCAGTCTCTTGCATGCGCTGGGTGCGGCGCAGCCAAGGAAGGCAACCAAATTTGCGCCAAGCATCATGTGGTAGATGCGTAAGCAATGCGTTCAACAAAGGTTCCAGTCCTTGGCCGGAATTGATGGCCTGGGGAGCCTTGCCGGCCCTCTGGTCCGCAATTTCGAAGTTTGTGGATTCAACCATTTTCGCTGCATCCAGCTCTTGCTGAAGCCTCTCACGGTCAGAATGCTTCAGGACATCATGGTCTCGGTACAGCAGTGCCGACAGCTGGGTTGCATTCATCTTAGCGGTGTAGTCACTGGGCTCCAGGTGCAAGAGTTGCCTCAGCAGTGCGCTGCGCTGGTGTCTCCGACGCTAACAGCCGAGGGCCGAAACCCCTATACTACAATGGCTACCAAGTCCTGGACAGCACAAGCTTGCGAAAGCCTTTCAGTCGTACTGCACCAGCCATGAGCGGATCTCTTTCTAGTTGGCGCAATGCCTGGGCTGCGGAAAATCAAAACCAAAACTTCCTGTGATTCCTCACCCAAAAAAAAACACCCCCCCCTAAGCCACTCTTCAGACAAGCTGCGGCAGGATTAAACATAGCAAGATCTGCGAGCTGTTTTGCTCTCAGTTCAAAGCTGATGTATGGAATTTTGCACGCCGGGCTTCTCTTGATGATTCGGCTAATTTGGCTGTGTAAGCCTTCCACGGATCTCGTCACCACGCGTACCTGAGCTGGCTGGCACTAGCTGGCACCGACTGCAACAGACTGCAAAGTCTGCTGCGTGAAAACGAATTGTTTCTTGCGGTGGCAGGCACGTGTCGCATCGCTGCGAGCCATCGAAGGAGGGAGCACACATCCTTCGAGTCCGAGTCCGGGCTTGAATCGTAAATCTGAACGATAGATTCGCCTTCACTCAATCGCACGACGAATCTTCTGAGTGCTGGGTCTGTGCCCGCGGTCACATCAGCAGCGGTCAACCCATTCCAAGCTGGACTCAGGAAGCGCTGCGATTGAGTGTGCAAAGTGCCACGCCCGCCCTCTTGCCAGAGTCTGAGGCAATCCTTCGCAGCCATACAAACCTGCGTAGGGTTTGTATGACTCAGTGCACCTGGGCCAAGCAATGGTCAGCGACAGGTGCCCACCCGCCCGTGATACGAGAAAGTACAATGCTTCGGACTTGGGTACAATGCTTCAAGCATGGCATGAAAACTGTCCCCTTGACGAAAAGTCAGCCGTGCCGTGTGAGCATCAATGTTAGTTATAGTTATAACTATGCACTTGAGCAGCAAAGCGTCACAAGCGCCAGGGCAACTGTTGATAGTACGCAAGCTTGACTTGAATACCTGCCCACAACTTGCTGCGTGCTTGCACCCAATCTGCATGGAATTGCGAGCGATCTTCCGCGCGTGACATGACGAGGAACTCCGTCAATCTGCCACGCCCCATGTTCATCACTCTCTTCAGCTCCGGAATCCAGTCGCCTGCAGCCAGCTCCGGCGCTCTACACCCAGCATAGGGACAAGCTACCCTGCCAGGATGCCGCTGTCTCCTAGGCCTCCTCTTACGTTCACCATCATCTGCAATGGCAATGCGGTCGGGGTCTGGGCCGCCTGCGCCTGTGCCTGATGCGCAGCACGAACACTGCTCCGCCCAACGTCCTACATACTCGGCTTCGTAGGATATGTCATGGATGATTGCCACTCCGGACCAAAATGCTGGCGAACGAATTGCGTCGTCGATCGCCTGCACCGTTGGAGCGCCATGGTCACTGGACTTGTCACACCTCCATTCCCTGTGCCCGGTACTGTGGAGCCCCTGCATGAACCACTGTTTGTTCCACGTGCGTCGAATGAGGGGCTCCAAGAGGAGGAGATCTCGGGTGAAGTCAACTAGAGCTTCCCAACGTAGAGATGCAAGGGTGTGGCTCCACGTCGCCAGTGGCTTCGCATCCTCTTCGTTGCGAACACAACATGCACGATACCGGTCACGCATTGTTGGTGGCCTCAAGAGCCTTTCGAGGGCACGAAGTCCAGTCAGTGTGCTTGCCCACCTGACAATGGCATGATCTTCAGTATCCAACTCTAGCCCATAACCAGGATATGCAACCTGAGACTTCAAATTCTGATAAATTCGGTGGACAAGCAGCGTTTGCATCGAGTCAAGGGACTCGTGTAACAAATTGTCAACCACGTGTTTTAAATCTGACGTCTGCCAGGCATTTGGGTAAAGCCGTGCATGCCTAGCCTTCTCATCCTCTGCATAGATCTTGGCAAGTCTCGTTTCCTCAGCCTGCGGGTCTACCAGATCCTGAATCAAGAAATTGCACGCATCGTCTTCGTCGTCGCCCACAATCTGCGCCAAAGCGCTGCGGGAACCAAGGTTGGCAGCATTCTCCCTGTGCAACGCTGCTAGATCGATTGCCGGCGCCGTTGCGATGTCATGCTCCACTCCTGTCGCACCCAACTACGGGTGAGCGGGTGGGTGGGTTGGTTTGGGGGGGTGGGTGGGTGGTGGGGGGTGGGTGGGTGGTGGGGTGGGGGAGGGGGGGAGGGCGGGGCGGGGGTTGGAACACAAACAGCTCTGCAAGCGCGGATTCTCTGAGGTTCGGATGCATCTCCGGAAAACAAACAGCGTGAAGGAAGCACACTCACGCATGTCCTTGATCCGAACATGCGCTCACCACCTGTTTGCTGTAGGCGTCGAAATTATCCAGCGGTCTTTCGGACCAACCAACCTCAAGAAGAACGGCGAAAATCACCGCATCCAGTTTGTTGGCGAAAGACGCAGCTCCTGGACAACTCGGGGAGTCATGTCAAGAAGGACAGGCGATGTCTTCTGCTGCCATTGGGTTTAGGGTTTAGGGCCGTTTAGGGTTTAGGGTTTAGGGTTCATGCTGGCCTTTGCCAATCGAAGCGACTGGTAGCGCACGGCACTGAACTTCCAGCGTTGGTGGCTCCATCATGCCTTCGAGCTCAGGCCCGCAATCTTCCAACTGAAGCTGCTGCATATACGGGTCTTGCCGAACATCGTAGATGTATCTTGCCACTGCGTCTTGTGTCCTGTGCAGCTCGCGCAGAAATATCATCGTTCTAGAGTTCCAAAAACTCGACAACAACCTGGCCTGCAGGTGAACTCTTGCACCAGCAAAAAGTCTTTCCGTCTCTCTGATGAATCATATCCTTGGTAGACAGGGTACACTCGACAAGTGCGAGAAAGTCTTTGGAAATGCAAACGTGGGAGCAGGCCGAGCAGGCCAGGCACTCACGTAAAGTATCATAAATAAATACACTGGAAGATGTCTAACGGGTCTAGCATCCCAGCGCTACGAAATGGTTTCCAAAACCACTCTCACGCCAATGTAGACGTCTGGACATCATGAGCAGTGCATCCAGTCGCTGGCGTGCACGTGAAAAGGTTGCCCCGCCCGGGCCTGTAATTTTCTGCGCCGGCTCCTCAACCGAGATCATCCGGCGCACACTGGAAGACAACATACTTAAGCAGACTCACGGCCAAACAACTGCCTAGATGCCGACATTCCCACCGGCCGTCCACAGCAGATGGACCAAGCAGCTCGTAGAACTGGTCTGAAAGCTTCAGAACTTCGAAGGTGTACACCCCTCAGTAGCAGGAAAATCTTTCCATGAGGGCATTTGGTGCAAGTCGACGTTCAAGTTCACATGTGCGGCCAAGACTCAGAAGCATGAACTGCACTAGTTGCGACATACTGTAGGCAGGCTTGCCTACACCCAGCTTCGCCATGGGTTTGAGGATATCGTCAACATGCTCAGGTTGGGTCGGCTGGATCACATGGTCGGCAGCGCAATCAAGGGTAGGTGCAGCCACAACGATTTGCAGCTGCTCCGGCAACAACGGCGGATCCCGTCCCTGTCCAAGACCCGCGATCCATGACAGCATAAAGGCAACGTTTGTCGACATGGTGTCATGACATGGTGCTGATTATTGTTGCAACAGGCAAAGAATGTAACTTTAGCAATAGTTGACAAGTCTGATGAGACATGTAGCACTACGGACAGGCCTCGGCGACACTTGCCAAGCTTACCATAGCTTGTTGGAACGTTTCCACCTCAGGGATTAACTGGTGAAAGTGAGTGCGAAACACACGCACACCTGGAGAAGCAAAACTTGCCTGAAACGCTGATCCATATCGCAGCACCGGCTCAGCTGAACGGAGCAACAGATGGTAGCAGAAGCCGACTTGCTTGCACACGGACGCCACTGTAGGGGCCATTGCTCACGAGAGCACCAACAAAGACGATTCTGTCTGAAACTCGATGTTGGCCAACC